ATCATCATCATCATCATCATCATCATCATCATCATCATCATCATCATCAACCACACCTAGTGTTTTGCCGTTTTATAGTTATACTTCCGTCCAGATTGTTTCACTCAGTGCATACATTTCAGCTTCAAGACGCCCTGATAATGTTTCCGGGCTTCCTACCGCGTCTCATGAAGCATACGCATGTGGGTGGCACCAACAATCTCGACAAATCGGTCCTTTTTGGGAAGGAAGTTCTTCTCTCGTGAGTTCCTATGCAGGCTACTTTATCTTTTAATCAAGCTCCCGTTTAGTGGCCTGGGCTCTGGTGTTCTTAGAAGGCACAGTCGGCTCTAGGACGCATATTTATAGACAGCAGGCCATTCGAGTCGCCTCTGGTTGTCCGTACAGCAAATGCTTTTCGTTAACGAAAGTGACCATTTTGGTATGGTTGTATTTTTCCTGGCTTAGATTTAGGAGAAATATCGAAGCCCATCATATTTGTTTTCTCTGTTAACTTTGAAAGTGCACAAAAGTTAAGACTTACGTCATTAAGAACTCTGGGCCTGGGTACCGAATTTTGTGCTGACAGACGTTCTTTTTAGGAATTCATACTGTGAGAACATTTTGACAGACAGTCCTTTCCGATAGATCATTTTGCACCCGAATCCTACTGAGTCTGTCTACTCTTTTGCAGCCAGTTTGATACGAATCGAATTTTCTGGATGTCTGTTGGCATTTGTTAATAGAAGTTCTGGGTTTTTGTACGCTGGAACGAGACGTTTGGACTTAAGAATTATGGGTGCGGAGTGAACGACAGTCTTCAGGGGGCCTGGCGGGACAACTGACCGACCCAGAAGGTGGCTAGGACTGGAAAATGGCATCGAAGAGTGAAGTAAGCGTCTTAGCGCATTTCCGAACTACACACATTCTGACAGGCTTAAGGCTAGTATTACGGTTCGATAAATGCCGTGGCTTAGAAGGTTACCAATTGGTGGGAAAACTTGGACCGTGAACTCAGCCCAGTGTGCATTTGTGCGGAGTGGACTATTAACAGGCTGCAATGACACCCTAAAATGGGTTTATTACATTCCTCCTCCTCCGTGGGATGCCAGCCAGTTGTGGTGGCTCCAGTTGTTCTGACATCATCGGGCGGATCACCAATCCTGCAATTCCTTGCTTTTTGTCGTCGTCTGTTGTTTGTTTGTTACATTTGGTGTTTCAGGGTATATCTACTCAGGGTGAGGTAACTCACGAAGCAATGTATGCATTATAAAAATATTTTTCCGGTTAGAATTTATGTCCTTCCTATCACTCGCGAACATCGTTCTTCCTGAAAAACGACTGCCTTAGCATTATGCTTTTTCATATTGATTTGTGATGCCTTCGTAAATCTCAACGCATGCTTTATGAAGTTTACCATGAAGCGTCCTTTCGTACAACCCTTTCGTAGTTTAGTATGTCTTCAAAGTTTCACCTCAGAGAACGACAAACCTTTGAGTTTTAAAAGTGTAAGTCCCACTATGTCTGCGCGCTTACTACCCTTTACGTTATTTCCTACTAACTGTCCTCTTGGGGCTTTCCTTTCCAGCGAAAGCGACTCCCTAGGGCGTCTGCTGGATGTCTATGTCAGCCAGTGTCATTATTATTGGCAAGAGCCTGATGTTCTCGCCTGGTTGGAGCACAACGTGGAGGCGGTTCTCCGATTGGTAGAGCCTGTCATTATCCCCGGTTCATCTACTTCAGCCTGCCCAAATGCAGATCCCGACCCCCGACTGCGCAAGTACTCGGAGAAGTTAGTTTACGTCCACTGCTGCTTTTTTGCTCTGTGTACTTCGGTCAGCTATTGTTTGAAGAAACCTGCATTCCTGGCCTATTTTTGATTCTATATTATTGACGTTCAGTAGTCGTGAGTACGTCCGTTAACTATGACAAGGTTATCCTTGGCTTTTAAAAAAACCAAAACATAGTCTGGGGACAGTTACGTTTCGGGTCCCCTACCTCTTATTTCGCATAACTGTCTACTTAGTTCACAGTAGTAGGCATGTTTTGTTTGACAACATTGGCATCGGCTGTTTCCGAAGTACACGTACATTTGAAGGGCGACTTTGCACTACGCTACTGGTACCAAAATAAGATGACATAAATTCAACTTAGAACCGTCTCTCTGTAATAAGTAAGC